TGTCGCTACAAGCATGCTTAGTGTGAGGGATTGCTGAAGAGTCAATGAGTCGATGCAATCAACTGGTTTTCCTTACAGTAGATAGAAAACTTTGAATCAATTTGACTGTATGATCTGGTGAACTGTAAAGTGCCTTGAGATGACATGTGTTGTGAATTGGCGCTATATAAATAAACTGAATTGAATTGAAATGAATTTTACCTTGTAACCCGGCAACGACCCAAAGCACTGTCAGATCTACAGTTTAGCTTTGGTGGATTAAGATTGGATTGGATTAAGAGTTGGATGGCAAATTAAAAAACTGTGTTTAAAGCTCTTAAAAGTCCAGACGTGAATCCAAAAGACAATCTGTTACCAGATGTTTACAGATGCTGCCTTTCAATCTGACAGAGCTTAAGCTATTTTGCAAAGAGGATTTCTCAGAAATGTCCAAAAAAAAGTTGGTTCTATTAAAAACCAGCTCACACAACACTTTGGTTTTTATTCATTTTATTCATAAATCATCTTAGTCTTTCATTCTGTTCCTCAGTTATCAATTATGCAATACTTTGTGTCGATCCGTCACATAAAGCCACAGTATTTCCCGTTAAAATGCAAGTTTGCAGTGGTTGAATGAGTGGTTTTCCACAGCAGAGTGTGTGTACGGTCCCTTAAACCTGTTTTCTTAGTTTTTACTGCTTTCTTTGCGGCTGCTGACCTTCCACCAGCCTTGTAACCATTTGACCATTGCCTGTTTTGGTCCCTGTTTAGTCTAGACAGACATCCTGCTCTGATCTGCATGACACCCAGACAAGAGAGAACAGATAGTGGCATTTTTTTACTGTCTGGAGGCAACTTGGACATTTTTTTTTTCCTTTTGGGGGGGGGGGATCTGTGTATCTTTCTCTTTCTCCTTCACTCTGAAATTCCAGACTTTAAGAAGTTCAGAGGAAGAGTTTCCAGACTTTGTCAGAAGTCGGTGTCCCTGCTCAGACTGAGCGGAATAGAGCACGCTTTGTGCTGAAATTTGTCAAACGTTTGACCCCTCGCATTTGAACTAAAGCCTGCTCTGTAACGGAGCTCGTGAGATTTTTACGGCCCGTGGCTGTTCCTCAGAGCAGACCATCTGTTCTCTGGCAGAGCCCAGCCGCGGTCTGCAGACAGAAGGAATGAGAGACGGGTAATGAGGGAGAAGGGAGCTGACTCTTAGTGATGTAAACGATACACAGCCATGGGACTCATCCAAGCACGGGGGGAATGCGTCCAAACACATGCTGGTTTACATGCATCTTTCTCACATCAAATCCTTTCTTCTCCTCCAGCTCCTTTCCAAATTGTGCTCCCCTCTTTTTTTTTTTTTCCCCATCTCCATTTTCATTCCTTTCTGTCTGATTGTGTTTTTCACTCATTGCACTTCTTGTTTTTTTCTCCCAAACAGACCAGAGACTAGACTTGAACAAGCTGAGCCCCAACGACAGCGACACAGTCAGGGGGCAGATTGTCGGTAAGTAGTTGGTCTTCAAAAAAGGAAATTCCCCATCTTCTCTACACATTTCCTTCTAATTTATACAGGTAAAGACAAAATAAAAACAGCCTTTTACCCGGGAACTTTTATTCAGATGAAGGAAAAATCTAGCTTAAAAAAAATATCTTATCAACTTTTTTAACCCCTTTTTGACGGAAAATAGGCTACATTCACAGTGCAGATAAATATGGCCCAAAGACAATTTGTTTTCCCCTTCACGTAACTCAGACTCTTTCTGACTGTGTGAACAGGCCAACTCGCATGCAATTTGACTTTTTCAAATCCAATCTGGGCCACATTTGTATGATGTTTTAAATCAGATAAAGCTCAGATCTATTAGGATCTGACTGCTGTCTGAATAGCAAAATGACCCACGTTACTATGACGATGATGTTGCTCTGTATTACTGCACGGATAAAAAAAAACAATAATACAAACATGGAGGACAGCATAGATGGAGATGTACAGTGGAGCGACAACAATATTTTCAAGTTAAGAAGTATTTAGGCAGATACAGCGATCCAAAAGAGACTTGAGGGGTCACATCATAGCCGGTCAGTTGATTAAGATGCTGCATCCTCACATTTCTCTTATGGATGTCGCTGCCACTCCCCCTCCTAAAGCTTTAATTAATAGTTTAGCTCTCTTTCCGATGTCTCCTTTTCCACATCGTCTGCTGCATCATCCGGATTCTTCTACATCTTAACAGCTTTAGATTCATCCATAGACACTGATTTCTAACGTCATGTTATTGTTCTTCTAAGCATGCGGGTCAGACAATTACCCCATTTACACTACCCTTGAAAAACCGATCCATGTCGAGACCGGTCTGAGCTTAGATCAGTTAACCAGGCCGAGCTCGGTTCTGACGACCGTTTACACTAGGGGTGTGCAAAATAATCGTCATGATGATGCATCGTGATTCTAATTTTCGTGATCTACTGCATCGATTATTGACGCTAAGTATCGATTATTAATTTAAAAAAATGAATAAATAAAATTGCATGAATGGTTGGCGAACATCAGCCAAAAACAAGTGTAATACAACTTCCAGTCCAGTAGATGTCGCTGCGGATGTGTTGACACACGCTGCCTTTTGTCACAAGCATTTCCGGCCGCGGGATACTGAGACGAGTCATTCAAAAACAAAACATGGAGGAGAAAATATTGCAATGCATCTCAATAATTCAAGTATCGTGATGCATCGTGATAGAATCGCATCGTGGCCTGTGAATTGTGATTAGAATCGAATCATGACTTCTTTTGCGATACCCACCCCTAGTTTACACATCACACTATCTCGGTTCCTCGACTCCTCGCCTCCTAGTGACGATCTGCGGTATTACTGCCAGTATTGAAGGAGGAAATCAAGCAGTTGGTGGCGGTAATGCACCAAAAGTTGTTTGCCAACCGCCATTAAACACAAGAAGAAGACGAAGAAGGAGGGAATCAAGCAAATCAAAATGACGGCGCCCGTCACATTCAGAAAGTTATGCTTGATTATTATTGCTGTACTTATTTAGGTTCGAAGACGGCAACCTTTCGTGGATTTACTTGAGAAAGTCGGCTTTCGATTGTTGTTTATAGTTGTTCTTTTTCTGTTTTGTGTTGGTTTGCAAGCAAGGAGGGGCATTACCGCCAACTGCTGGAATGGAGTCTGAATCGGGATGTGCAGTCAGACGGAGATGCCGCGTTCTGCTCATGCGCTCTTGTTGTCAGAGAACCGAGCCAGGGAAAAACCGAGCCAAGTCCACCTCTGGAACTGGTCTGCAGTTAGCGCGGTTAGGTTGTGTCTAGCTCGGTTCAGTTTAGTTTGCTTTCCATTTACACATGATAAGTTATCTCAGTTAATGAGCTCGGACCGGTCGCGGCACGGTTTTTCAAGGGTAGTGTAAATGGGGTAAATCTGAGCCGGTCATGTGAACAGCCACATGAAAAAATTCGATCTGACAATAAGTCTGAATTGAGCATTAAGACCTGCAATGTAAACATAGCCTTTGTTTTCTTTTATTTCTTTTGTAATCATCCAGAGGCAGCGATCAAGGATGATTTCCTGTTTTGAGGAACAAATTCTGTTTTTATTTTCGCCACATTTAAGCCAAATATTCCCTTAAGAGGCCAAATGAAGATCTGTAGATTTTAAAATTCTTTAATAAGCTGTTTGAAAACATTCATGTTTTTTTTGTTTAGAAAAGAAAAAGACCCACAGCGCTCCCTACTTAACAGTTAGCATGATGTGTTTTCCCACATTTCCACCATTCATGTATCAGACACTCCACTTCCTTCACTTCCTACCATCCATCTAAACAATAAAACAGCAGTAAAATGAAAGCAGAATCAAAGCAAGTAAAGATAAAAGCAGATAGAAAATCTAATAAAGCAGTTGAACCACAATCTTAAAGCAATGATACCTCAGCTACAGTTAAACTTCTGCAGTCAAAGGCGGCTCTAAAGAAATGGGTTTTTAAGTTTGACCTAAAAGAACTCAGGCTTTCAGCACTTTTACAGTCTTTCATCAAGCATCCTTGCCCTGGCTATGGTCTGCTGTCTAGTAATGCCGGTGTTTGCATCTGTCTGCCATGTGTTCCTGAAGTGAGCCTGCAGTCGAGGGACCGCATCGGCTCAGGAGGTCAGGTAGTCGACTGCAGTCGGCTGTTTGACAACGATCTTCCAGATGGGTGAGTATAAAAGGGGCAGACTCTTCAGTTTTTCAATATCTATTGTAAATCATATACAACATATGTAAGCTACAAGAACGAGTGAAGAGATATGTTTGCAGAACTAAATGAGGGTTAGAACGGCTGCATGGTGTCACACCTCTGTCTGTTTCTGCCACCAGCTGGGAGGAGAGGAGGACCGCGTCTGGAAGAATCCAGTACTTGAACCACATCACACGCACCACGCAGTGGGAGAGGCCAACCAGGTGAGAACCCCAGAACAGAAACCCAGACCTCCTTTATCAAACACCAGGAGGTCCATGGAAGACATCACCTCTGACCCCCAGAGTGAAAAACCCAGACTAGAACTGAAGTGGATTTCAGAAAATAGGCTTGGGGAGAAAAAAATAAAAAAGTTTGTGACAGATTGCTCCAGACTTCTGAGGTTTAACGATGTGGACAAGCCAAAGAAACCCTGGAAACAGTCAGCTGTTTTTATTGCCCACTTCTTGTGAATCACACCATCGCAGTTTCCCTCGCCTGCGAAATCTTAAACCCTTAACTGTTAAACTCCTCTCCTTCTTTTCATGGGCTAACCGACTCTTCCACGCCGACCCTCAGGCCTGCATCAGAGTATTCCAGCCCCGGTCGGCCCCTCAGCTGCATCGTAGACGAGAACACCCCCGTTAGCACGAACGGCGCAACACCCACGACAGCTTTACCCCCCAGCGACGGCGACCAGCGAGCCCAGGAGAGGCGGGTCCGATCGCAGAGGCACCGCAACTATATGAGCAGAACCCACCTGCACATGCACCCGGACCTTCCTGAGGGATACGGTCAGTAGGAAGGAGAACACACACACTTTATAGAAAAGTATTCATACCCTTTGAGCTCAGTCACATTCTCCTATTTTATACGTTTAACCAAAGCAAAAATAGCACATAAACGTGAAGCAGAGGAGGGTATTAAATAGTTGCATCAAGTTAATATATGAAGCCTGAGCGCCTCCTTTTAAACGGGCTTTAGTGCTTTTGCAACAATAGCTAATAGTCATCCAAAGCAAAACTCATCATCAGCAGCTCCCTCAACAAAGTCCTCCAAAATGGGGAATGGTGGAATACTGGTTAGGGCATAGAGCTTGGAATCCTGAGGTTGTGAGTTCAAAATCCACTCCCACAGACTGTGGGATTCTGGCTCTCTGAGAAAGACCCTTAACCCTCGATTTATCTATGCTCTTAAAAGCCACGATGGCTATGGAAACAAATCGTTACCATATTTAAAATGAAAAAGCATTTCCAGAAATGCTTTTTCATTTTAAGAATGTGGCTGCATTATTTGGCTCATAAATGAAATTAGTAATTAACCATCCTGTTTGCATTTTAATGTTCTTCTTCAAGACTGCTCATCCTTTTACTTAATTAAAATGAAAAAGAAAAAGACATTTGAGATTTATTTTTCAAAATGTACCCCAGCAAGTATTTAATGTAAAAAATGTACCCCAGCAATTTGCATTTGTATTTTCTTCTTTAAGAATGCACATTTTATGCCATAATCAAGGAGAAAACACAGGGGACATTGCTTTTTCCTTTTCCTGGTCTGCCTGCAAAGTACAGTACATAACTCGAAAACGAAAAAGCATTCTGAGCGGCGGGGGCAGCAGAGTGACGTCTGCAGCCGCTCTTCCTCAGGTCCTTGCTGACTGGGCTACCCATCTTGTTCAGTAGGGGGCGCTGATTATAGCAGGTGGCCTTCCTTTGTTGTTTTTTCCATCAAAAAATGGTTACGCTTAGTTTATTATTTAGCTAAAAGTTTAACATTCTCTCCATCATAAATCATGAAGACCTCTGAAATTAGTTTCTCATTGGATTCGAATCCTTTCCAAAAACCTATGAAGGTCCCTGATTGGACAAAAGGTTATTTAGACACGTCTATGCGTCTTAAAGGAACCATCTTCCACTTACAGTAGCTTTGTGTAGATATAATATAGTGTCTAATTACAGTGTGCAAACAAAGAGTGCTGAAAAAAATCAAACTATTTTCATAACCAAATAAATAATAGCATTCCTAATTTTAAATTTCAAGAATAAATTCCAAATTTTTATTATTCGAAGCTGTGCCAAAATGACTCAGTAAGCCTGGATTTTTTTCAATCTAAACATCTATAACTTCTCCCTTTCTTGCTGTATGGGCAGTTTATTATGTTTATTTCCTTCGTTACAGGAAAAGTAAGACGTCTAAATCTAATTCACTCAGGTTTTACTTTCCAATTTTCACATCCACTTCATCCTCCAGGACCTTTATGTCAGTTGATAACAAGATTAGCGTTTCAGACAGCATACAAATACAAACAAAATTTATATGTAGATTGGAGTATGTAATGCAAATGGATGAAAGATAGCATGCCTCTGCCAGCTCCTCTGTGGCCTCAGCGACCCTCAGCTGATCTATGTCCTCATTCAGCCCAGCAGCTCTCTGATCGTGCCGTTCTCTGCCTCTGTTTTAGATCAATCTAATAGAACTGATCTAGCTGTTATAAGCTTGGCGGCAGCCATTCAGTCCACCCCC